AGACAGGGGTGAGCGCCAAATTATTCAATGAGTAGGGTTAGATAACCCTCTCACCCCACAACAATCAATACAGATGCAAAATATTTTTTAATTTGTTTATCGATAAAATTTATGAAATCATGGCCAGTGGTCACACAAAGTGGCAATACAACAGCAACCACAATTAAGTAATCAACCTTCCATATAATCAACATCACGTGGAAATTATCAGTTTGCTATCTCTTATCTAAAAATTAGTCAGTGGCACCACCTAAAACCCCAACGAGCCGTCCTCACACATGGCTCGCCCTCTCATACATGTGCAGCAGGGAGCCGACCCCCATACGGCCAACTGGTCTAATCCTCACTGACCAGTCCTCTCATTGTTTTTCCATTCTCTCTCTTTTTTAAAAAAAAAAATGCCAACAGGAGGCAACCCGGTGGTCTCCATCCAATCTAGATCATCAAGTGCTCACAACAAGAGGCCACCCTGTGGGCTACAATCAAATCTAGATCATCAGGTGCGCAACAACAAGAAGCCATCCTATGGTTTTCCATATAATCCATATCATCAGGTGCACACGGGGGGGCCGATCTCCCATTTCCCGGCTGACGGTCAAACTCCATATCATATCATATTCAGAATCCATATCACATATACCGTCCTCACAAATCCATGGTGGTCCACATCATCCCAATTCCACACAAACAAGGCACAGCAATATCACATCACAGGTAATCAAACATTATTTAATATCAATATCAACAAATAGTGCATCACAATATAGCAGTAATGCCATGAATAACATTTAGTCAATGCATGATAGCATTTAGCCGTGAATGCATGAATGCAGGCGGATGATACTAGTTATCTAACACTACTCACAGTTTTTGTTGTCCTTAAAAGGACTGTCTTTCTTATTGCGCGCTTCCAGCCTTTGTCTTCACAGTCCGAAACTTTATAAGTATCTATATAATAAGAAAATTCTACATAAGAATTCTAATTTGAAAAATGCAGTTTGCATTCATTTATTTGTTTTCGTTACTCGTCGGTTCATTAATTTATCAAACTAACTGTATATCTATAGTGCATCTTTATTTGATTATTTCTTCTAATTTATTCATTAAGTAAAACGTCTAGTTATTCGGTAATTTATATTTTATGATAATACTAATCAAAATATTAATATGATTAATAATAATAATATAATATTAATAATGATAATACAATGATCATATAAATATTCATAACGTTTAATAAACTTAAGTCGGTATTTAAATTCAACTGACTATATATATTCCATTCCTCTTTTTATTTATTTATTTGTTTATTATCCTCTCTAATCTTATTCTATATTTTTAATTTCTATGAAGAATTTAATAAGCTATAAGTAATTTAGTTTCTAAAAATACAATTTATTTTTCTACCTGACTTTTCGGCAGCATCCTCCCCTAAAATTTGATTATCCACCTATTAAAATATCAATTCAGTTTTAATTCTAATAAATCAAACCTACACAGCGCCCATCCATCGGGCAATTAATCAAATAACATTTTCCCATCCTCCTTCAATCTCAACATCACCACACAATCCAATTTATACATTACAATAACATTATTTTAAAACTACCTTAATTATATCAACACTAATATTATAAAGCTATTAACTATTCACAATGACCAAATTAAATTAACCAAATTAATTAACTACAAATAAAATTAATTTAATTAACTAATATTACTAACACTAACTTAACTAAACTAATTGACTACAAATAATAAAATTAATTTCATTAACTACTACTACTAAATTAATTAACTACAAATACTAAAATTAATTTAATTAACTAATATTACTAACACTAACTTAACTAAATAAATTAACTACAATTAACTAATTTCATTCACTAAAACTAACTTAACTAAACTTAACTAAACTCATTAATTGCAAATAATAAAATTTTATTTCATTAACTAATATTACTAAATTAATTAACTACAAATAATAAACTTAAGTTAATTAACTAATATTATTAACATTAACTAAATCAACTAAAATTATTAAAATTAAACTAACTAAATTTAATTAACTATCATTAATAAAATTAAATTAATTAACTAAAAGGGCCTGTGGTGGCGGGGCGATGAGCTAGAGGAGGAGCCCTGGCAATGCACGGGCGGCGGAGTGGCGGTGGCGTGCGATTCTGCTGCTCCGCCTCTATCTCTGTCTTGCCGAGAACCCAGACGCAAAAGAGAGAAAAGAAAGCAAGAAGAAGAAGAAAAGGAAGAAGGAGAGAGGAGGGGGAGATGAGGTAGACGCAGGAGAGGAAAGGAAGAAGAAGAAAAGAAAAGAAATAAAGTATGTCCAATTTCTAGATGATTCCGGTTCGATCTGAACCGGATTGGTCTGATTCAACGACTTAGCTAGATTTTAACTCGATTTGCAGGTTTTTGACATGATTTTTAGGTTATTCATTTGGTTTTCAAAAAATCAATTTGATTTTTGGGTCTGGTTCGACTTATTTTGTTTATTTAGTTCGGTTTCGCAATATTTTCTCTATTTACTCAATTATAATGCAATATTAATAGTAATGATATTTGATTCTAAGACAATTAATTTATATTGCAGTTACATACATATACATACATTTGTAATCAATTAGTAACTAGAGTACATAGAGTCTCATTTTATTTATCAAAACTTTTTAAGTTGTTCTCCTAATCGAAATTCCAGAATAATCTTGTTTTTGTGGGCTTGGGCCACATCATTTCAAAATTTGGGCTTCGTATTTGAACTGTTACATTTACAGCCCACATTGTCAAAATTTCTTATTTTTGAATTTAAATTAAATTTGAAAATTTCGAAAATAAAAATCGAAAATAAAAATTCGGGGTATTACAATTGCATACATTCAAGTATTTGAGTTTTGAAAGAGTTTCACTAAAATTGAATTAATAAATTGGAGAGAGAAATATAAATACAATTTTTATTTATTTATTTATTATTATTATGCCATTTAGATCAAAGAGAAATCTCTTTACTTGTGTAGGTATATATATATAATAAATACATTTTAAAATAACAAAAGAATTGAATAAATTAAAATAAATACATTTAATAAATAAAAAAGGGATTGAAATACCTTATCATGTATAGTTAAAATAATATTTTTGTCATTTAAATTTTAATTTTATTATCTAAATATTAAAAGTTCATATTTAAAGAATCATTTTCAAAATTAATATTCATTAACAATAATTATCTATATCTATATTTCAGGTTTGAATTTTATTTTTTATTAAATTATTTAAAATACTTTTTAATTTGTAAATTTATTTATTTTTAAATAATTAACTATATTTATGTTTTAATATTTGAATTTTTCTTAGTTTTAGATTGAATTGTTTAATTTTTTTCCATTTATTTATACTAATTATATATTTATTATTATCTATATTTATTATTATCATCTTTATAATGAATTTTTTTTTTTGGGTAATGATTTTTTAAATTTATAATTCTACAAAATAATTTAACTTGCTACTTATTGTGTCCTAAGGAATTTTGTATTTACATATACTATATATATAATATATAATATATAATATAATTACTTTCTTTTCATTTTTTTCTGAAGTTGATATACTTCTTCATTTTTCTGAAGTTGTAAGATTTATTTTTTTAGAAATATTTATTTTTATATGCATAACAAAAAGTAAATTTTAATACAATCTACAATAATAAAGTAAAAAAGCAATCTGTGTGATGAGCGGGCTTATACCTAATTTATTATTGATCATAATGCTTCCAGGTAGAGTTTCTCTCATCGATTGTTTTATTTCATTAATCATTATCGAGAGAAGGATTTTTTATATGAATAGGGTAATAAATTTCATGAAAATAACAACTCGTTGGAGGTTTTTATAAAATTAAAGATCTTAATTTGTGAATTCTTGAATAATCACAAGCACTTAATGATTTAATCTATATTTGATTGTGCCATTGAGAGATGGACAATTGAAGTGGGTTAAAATAGCTAATAAAACATGGAGAGAGCTTATTAGCGAATTTAAGGTTATTTCTCCTTCTTGAATAGTTAAAATTGATTATCAAACTAACATATAATAAACTGGATAGAATTAAGTGAAGTCAAAATCTCTAGTAACTTTTAACTCTTGATTTCTTTTCAACAACTTCTTGCTTGATATCATTTTTATTATTTTTACTTCAATTCTTTTATTTTCAAATACATTCTTTTTATTGTCGTTTAAATAATAATAAGTTAATACAATTTTGATACTTGATGTACAATATTTGTGGGACGATACTCTGCTCACTCTTTATTATTTGTTTGCGTTTTCGTACACTTATGAAAAAAGCCTACGAAATCTATATAAGAAGTTTATGTGGATAGTAAGACACTTATGGAGGTTGAAGTTAGGGTAACTGCAACAAAGATCATAGGAAAGATCATAGGAATGATGAGGAGGGAAACTATTTATAGTTCCCTATAATTGTGGAATGTACAAAGGAAAGTGGAATAATTACATTCCCTATAATTGTGGAATGTACAAAGGAAAGTGGAATAATTACATTCCCTATAATTGTGGAATGTACAAAGGAAAGTGGAATAATTACATTCCCTATAATTGTGGAATGTACAAAGGAAAGTGGAATAATTACATTCCCTATAATTGTGGAATGTACAAAGGAAAGTGGAATAATTACATCTGATCTCAAATTGCATCGTAATGAGAGAATTACAAAGGTGGGGAATGATCTGAACAATTCAAAAAAAAAGAAGAGAAGCAGAATGCAAAAGAAGAATGAATCAATTTTATAAAAATACTGATATAATTTCTGGATAATTGTTTTACAGAAATACGAATAAAAATATTATGACTTGCTTGCCAAAGAGGAGACCATTTGCTTAATTTTATAAAAATGAAGCCAATATATATATATATATTCTTATATGTTCATCAAAAGCAAGAAATAATGTATACATTATCATCACATCTACTTGTATATAACAATCTCTTTATATATAACCAACGCAAACAAACACCTTTCAACTTGTATATCTGCACTATTCTACAAGATGAAGTGCAATTTTAAAGAAGATACAAAAAAATTTATGTAAAAATAAATGAATATTTAAATATAACACCAACAAACAACTCATCAAAATATGAAAAAAAACCCTACTAAAAATAAAATCACATTTAATTTCACGTTTAAGAAATTTAGATATAATGTAATAGATCCTGAATCTTCATTATCATCGCTTACATCTTTAGGGTTATCGAAATTGGCAGGTACAATCGTATCTGGAGTGACATCTTCACCACTAACATCAGGACTATTTGGCGCTGGAGCTTGCTCAGAAGGATCTTTTAAGCTTTCCGGTAAGCCCCGACCATGGGTCACATTAATTTTGAAATGTTGACCAGCTTTGCATTGATCACCATCATAATCACCGGAGAAGAAATATGTGGTTCCTTCTTTTAATAGAGGAACTGCTACAGTGACTCCAGTTGTGGCGGTGTTTGATGGATCGGAGACTGACCATTCAATAGTGTCATTGTCTAAGGCATTATCATAGTCACACAACTTGTATGTGGTGAAATTGTAGGTTTGAACGACTGAATGATTGTTGTTAGTGTTGAAAACTGCATCAAACATTAACAGGAAAAATCACAAACTAACAAAATAATCAAATTAACATGAAAATATGTATGTATAAAATGCTTATTATATTATGGTTGTGTTCTACAGCATTAAGAAGCTTTTAGCGAAATATTATTTCTTTTATAGTGTTCGGTAATATAGCATTTGCACTAGCTTTTAGAGGTTAAATTAACGTTTTGTAAAAAGTTAATTTTTCTAATGTTTAGCTTTTAGCGTTCAATGAAAAATTACTTAAACAGCTAAACACTACCCAAACAACTAATAACTATCAAAACAGCTAATTTAACCAAATAGACCTATAAATCCAAATAGAATTAAAATCAAACCTTAGACACAAGGTTTTAATCCTGATCTAAAATAAAAAAATGATTCTATTTTTAGCCCAGTTGGAAAATAATTTTTAATGTAATTTTTAGCATAAGTAATCCATATAGTAATTTTTAGAAGTTAAGAAGCGTCTAATGAAACACTATCTCCGTTTAACGGTTCACAATGGATAATTTTTTTGACATTTATATATCTATTTTTGTTTTTTTACAAATTAACAAATCCCACCTATAATATAAAATAATTTCATTTATTTTTTTTATCATTTTAAATTTATCAGCTAATCAAATAAATTATGTTTACCGAAAACTTGCACTTTATACCGTTATATAAACAACTCACAGCTAACAACTAATACAGTTAATATTACTGAACAGACCCTTTTATCATTTCAATTTCAATTTAGAACCAAACCATGGTGATCACTAATATATGAGCTTATTGAATTATTCCCATGATTAATTGAAAACTCTTTAGTTAATTAAAAGCAGAGAATGTTAGAGTTTGCAAAATAACATATATACACACATAAGCTTGTGAGCTCACATGAAGGACACTGAAGTTGCAGAAAAATTAAGATTATTCCGCGAGAATTTAGCAATGACAATAAGAATATTCTCGTTACAAAGACCCGAAAAAAAAAATTAAATTGCTTTTTTTTTTATTTTATTTTCTTCTTATCCTTTTGGTCGACAAAACCAATCATATCGTGCCATGTTGCGAAGAGAGAGTTAGTCTTTGTCTAAAAAAGACAGAACAATTTATAGTTCACAATAAATATCTGTCTGGGGCCCACTTAGACAGACACAGCATCGTTTCCACCCTCACTTCACATGGGTTCGTACTTTTAGCCCAAAATTCGTAGCCCATCTGCCCATGTGAAGTCATGTAACTGCACCGACTCTACTTATTTTATTTATTTATTTATTTATTTATTCGTTCAACCCTAAACAAAGTTTAATTATTAACATTTTTTGGTTTAATATATTAATCAAAAAAATTTGAAATGAAATCTTATATATTTGAATAAATAAATAACAGTTCTAAGAAAAGGTGAAACGAGTAACCCAAGGAACAAGTAATCGAAGGAAAAGAGAAATGAAAAGAAAGCAACAAAAGAAGGTGCTGTGATCACATTACTTGGCAATTGTTTTATCAAAGATGCATTCAACAATTCAACCAACCAATCAATTAATATATTATTAATATTTAAAATAAAAAATAAATAGTTTAATAAAAAATGTATAATAATACAATTACATAATTCGACGAGTAAAAAAATCTACTTATCTAACGCTAAAAAAAAATAATTTGACTTAGAAATCAATAAATAATTAGCTTTAGTTACTTTTATTTTTCAATTTAAAAATTGGTAATATAAATTTTAAATTTTTTAAAATAATTTTCGATAGATGAACCGGAACTAAATCGTACTGTAGATGATCTGAAATCGAACCGAAAATATCGGTTCAAAATTTTAAACCAAAATCGGTCGTTCAAAGACTGACTAAAATTCATGTGAATGTTAAAATCTGAACCTAAACCGGCCCTAAACTGGCGGTTAACTAGTGATTTCAGTCTGATTCGAACAGAAAATTTTTTATTTTTATTTTCAAAATAATAATCACTTAACTTATTTTATACATTTCTAAAAGTCTCAATAATATTTCCTTTACTTTGAGATTTTTTTTTTTAATTACACTTTACTTAACAAATATCTCCTTTTTTTTTCTTTCTTAAGATTTTAGGTTAGCATTTACAGTGACAGCTAAGGTCACATCACTTTAGAAAAGAATTAGACAACAAAGCATCTATATTTTTTTTCCATATACTAGAAGGAAGTGAGCATCTAAATTAGCTAAATTCACATTTATTCTAAACACTATGATATTTTCTTATTTTAGTATTTTCAGAAAATTACTATTAAAAAAATCTTAATTGTTATAAAGTTTGATGAGCTAAGGATCAAAAGATATGTGGATTAATATTTGATTATTACAAAAACTGCAGATTAATTCAATAAAACTATATCAGAATAAACAAGACTTTTTTTTTAAAAAAATTTAGACCAAAAGATGAACAGATTATGAACATATTTAATCTGCATACTTCTAAACTAATTATTCTCATATTTGTTACCTCATAATTAATACTTTTAATTTGCAAATATAAATATAAGATTATATATATGTGTGTGTTTGTATGGATTGATGAAAATTTCACAAAGAAATAACAAAATTCAGAAAAATAAATTAAAATTAAATGGAGAGAGAGAAGAAGAAGAAGAAGATTAATTAGAAAGCTTACTCAGGAAATCTCCCAAGCTGAAATTCTTGGAATCAGCCCATTTCTGATAATCAAGATTAGGCTTTTCAGTGTTATCATACCAACCAAAAGAGTCACCAACTGTGTAATTCTTGTAAGCTGCAACAGATCCAGCAGAAACAAAAGGAAGAAGAAGAAGAAGAAGAAGAAGACAAGAAGAAGGAAAGGATAGAAGATGTGATCTCTGTTCCATTAATTATGGTTTTGGGAAAGTGAAGTGGAAGTGTAGTAATGGTGATCTTTTCTTTTTACTATTATGAGGAAGAAAGGGGATGGAAAACGGAACTGTTAGGTTCTTTGACAGTATCACTTTTCATGTTATATATAGAGCCTTCCTTTTCTTGGAATTACCAATTCTGCTCTCTTTTTAGATGGTGAAATGTTGCTTTGTGAATTTATGTGGTGTTTGTCTATTTAATATATCTTCAGCAGACAACTGTCTACTTTTTGTACGTGTGGACAAGATCACGTATCATGCAGTGTTCATTATTTCAGTAACTATGTAATCCCTTGGTTCTCTAATAATTATCACATCCGAGAAAGGCTAAATTTGACCTTTTATTTTCTTTATTTTAAACTCTAAATTTATTTAAAATGATCAAATTTAAAATTTTGAGTCAATTTATCCCTTGAATTTATTTAAAATTATTAAAAAGATTAAATTTAATATTTTGGATTAATTAATTACCGCTGATTTTTCATTATATTTATAGAGATTTAAGATTATAATTGAGTTCGAGCTGTATAATTTATTAAAAAATAATTAAATATGAAATAAAGAAAAAGCTCTTATAAAGTATATTATATCCTTGTTATCTTGATCGATAATTTTGAGTTTATAAATATATATTAATCTGAATATTTTAAAATTGATATGAAATTTATGTATTTCTCGTATTAAATAGTTTAAATTATACATGTTTTATAAATTTACTGTGTTACAAAAAATGACACTATTATAAACTTAAACTTCAATTCAGAACTGTTGGAAAAAGTTTGATATGGTGTTTTTAGTATAAAACAAGAAGAGAGAAAAGTTCAATCTTGTCAAATTGAATCAATTTACTAATTTGAAAAAAAATTTAAATAAGTTCAGGAATTAAATAAGCCTAAAAAGTTAATTTTGATATTTTTTTTAGTCATTTTAAATAAGTTCAGAGGCTAAATTGACCTAATAGGTCAAATTTGACTTTTTTTCATCTCGTTAAACAAGTTCAAAGGGCCGAATTGACCTTTATTTCGAGAAAATATTATGTTGTCAAATACTTGTCACATTTGTTGATTTAATAAATAATATTTTTTTGCCATTTTTACTCTTTGTTATGATCAATGCTTATTTTCACTCAAATAAATTAAGGGCAGTACATTAGTTCACTCAATAATTTAATGTAACTCAAACAAATTAAATGAGTTTCTTAAGATATATATTTTTTTTTGGTCAGCAATCATCAGTTTTATTAGATTAATAATAAAAACGAAAAAAACTTATCAAAACTGAGCGAAACTAAACCCAAGCCAGTAGACTTTTCCACTACCCTCAAAAAAATATAATGCTTGGAATTGATAAGAATAACCTATATATAGAGAAAACTAGAGAACCTTTTGTTGTGGAAATTGGGCTTTTTCCACCAAAAGCAATTTGTGAATTACTGTACTTACTAACTACACTAAGTAAATTCCCAGGTAAGTGGTGCTTGGGAATTGATAAGTAAATATCCTCTATATAGAGAAACTGAGGAGAACCTTTGTTGTGGAAATTGAGGGAACTTTTTTCACACAAAAGAGCAATTTGTGCATTACTGTACAATCCCTATAACACACACCTAAGTAATTTCCCAGGTAGTGCGAGCTGTCACAATCGGTCCACTTCATCTCACTGCTAAGACAGAATTTACCCTAGAAGTAATATAATTAGCACAATAACCACCAAAATATTTTTTGCCAACAATAGCTTTAAATAAATAAAGACAAAAGCAATAAATTTAGAAGAACATCCAAAATTTAACGAGGTTTCGGCCAATTGTTAAACCATACGTCCTCGGAACACACAAATTTATAATTTCAACTAAATGAAATATAACAAATTGTAGAGAGGAGAGAAAAAAACCCACTTAAAGAAATTAGAAAGACAAGTAGACAAGTTTTTGGAAATTGAAAAAAATAAGGAGCTAAGCTCCTTTTATAACCAACTCCCTATCCCTTCCCTATATCTTTCGCATGTGGTTTGACAAGCCCATAACCAATAATCTCCACCTTCGGGCGAAAATCCACAAAACAAGCTTTCTCTCTTTCCTCTCACAAGAGTTTTGTAAATCCCACTTCAAAATGTGCTTGCGCAATGCCAAGCTTCCAATTTTTAACAATATTGATCGTCAAGGGTTCCATAGACATGTTTGAAGCTTGACAGCTGTCACCGACTTTTGCAACCAATATCATCAGGATTTTCAGCAGTCTGAATCTTCTGGAGTTGAAACCCTGTCCTTTCCTCCAGAAAGTTTCTCTGACAAATATGAAATCGACCACGTCGATATGCTTCGTCCTTGCATTGGAAAATAAATAAAGAAAAAAACCTTTTGGAGGGGGTTTTATTCCCCTTTGCCAAGTGAATTACAACTTAAAACTACGTAATTGTAACACAAATTTGTTTTCTAACTCCCATTCATCAGCAATATAAGCCAAATTGCCTCTTAAACAAAGCTCCTGTAAAATGCCATGTTACTACTGCCTGATGAGGGATCTAAGCCTACAGTTGCACCTCAGGCATCCCACAATATTGGTTACGTCACGAGGAATCTGTTAATCGTACATAAGACCGGGGTTGGTCTCTGAATGGCTCAAGGGACAAAGCCGTGAAAGGGTGCCTCATACGGAAGGGCGCAAAGCGGACAATACTAACAAAAAGGGCGAGGCCAATAGACATTGGTAGTCAGACGCCGGTTGCCAAAAAAGTCGCTCTACTGGGCCTGGTGGTGGGAGCAAACCTCAGCGAGGCACAGACGAATCCTCTAGGGGGGTGATGACCTGTGAGGGATCTAGCATACAGTGCAACCTAGGAGAATCACCAACAGTCGGTTACGAAAGAGCAAAGGAGCAATGTGTTCCCGATCTACCATAAGAGGGTACGTCTCTGACTGGTCAAGCCACCCCCGCCCTTGTTTGGACATGGATCTGTCTCCATAGGCCTACAAAAGGAACAAAGCGTGAGGATGAACTCGTACGGAAAGGGCCAGCGCGCATCACTCAACCAGGGCGAGCAACATGGACACTGACCGTTTGCGTGTGACACAGCCACTGTTTGACTTTTTAAAGTAGACTTCCCTAACTGGGTGCTATTTACAAGAAGTCAAACACATACCAGTAGTTGATCGACGTTATCAAATCACCAGGCATAAATCCAGAATCACGTATTAAAAAGACTATGCGTTGACCACTATTCTTATCCTGCTACAAAAATGAATCCAACATCACGTGAGTTCTGAAGCGTACCTCCGCAGAAAATCCATTTCACAGCTTGCCAATGCTCTTCCAGGATGACAGCATGTATTGCTCAACAACTCCAACTGCCTGTGAAATGTCAGGTCTTCGTACACACCATAGCAAGTACATCAAGCTACCTATAGCATTTGCATAGGAACTCTTGAACAATGTATTGCCGTTCTGCATCATTTTGGCGACTGAGCTACACTGAGTTTGAAATGAGGAGAAGCAAGAGGTGTCTAACAGTTTGGTTTTATCAATACCAACCAAAAACGCTTAGTATTTTTCTTCAGATATTGGCTTCTGAATTCAGACAAAGTCTCCCAAATTCCTATCTCTGGTATCTCCTCGCCGAGAATCTTTTTTTCGCCAGATCTCTTCACTTTCAAAATTCTTGATTCAACTGATTCTTCACCAAATTCTCATATTCTTGGTTTATTCTTTTGAAGACTATTAGCATATCATCTAACATACAAAGTAGATAAACTGAAAGGAGCCATCTTTAGCTTGCGCAAATACACACAATGATCCGTAATTTGCTCTATGTGTACTTCTGCCTTTGCCTAAACTTTATCAAATCGCTTGTACAGCTGCCTCGGGATTGCTTATCAAATCCATAAATGCGATTTTATCAAGTTTGCATACCATAGTTTCCTTTCCAACAACCTTGAATCCCTTCTGGCTCGAGGTCATATAGATTTCCTCTTCCAAAAATCGATCCATGTAAAAAATGTAGTTTTTTACAAATCATTGAACTAAGTTCCAAATCAAACTTGCTACCAAGGCTTACAAAATCTGAATGAGGAAATGTTTTTACACAACTGGAAAATAACTTCATTATAATCAATTGCCCTCCGTCATGAAGGCGTAGACTTTACGCTAGCACTTTGCTATGTGAACGACTTGTCATCTGTCAGAGAAATCCAATCTATTCCTTTGCATATACCCATTTGCATCTATAGGCCTTCTTTCCCTTTATAGTGGATCACACTAAGTTCCACACGTCTGATTCTAGTAAAGAGGACTTCATTCAATCTTCCATAGCTTTCCTCCACTTTCTTCATTCTGAACTTTTGACAGCTTCATTGAAAAGTGGAGGAATGCTATCAATACTGCAAATGGAGATGCCTTAGGCCACCATATCATGCCAAACGAGACAGGCTTTCTTAGAACTCCATTGGGCCTATAAGTGGCAATTGACTCAAAGTGCCTGTGGAAGGTTCTTGGAGTTGAAACTCGCCTTCATTTTGAATCTCCTTGCAACAAATCGGAGTATTTTCTGCAGTTTCGTAGCTTTGCCACTGGGATTGTTTCTATCAACACTCCAACCTGTTTGGGAGTATCCTCACCTGTTGTGGATACAAATATTCCTGATGTTCTTACGCGACAAATTTTTAACATGGTAGATTCATCAAAAGGACATCTCTGTAAAGAAAATTATTCTTTGATTCTGTGCACCAATCAGATCCGAATAAGGCCTTTTAACACCAAGGTGCTTATCCCCATGAAAAAATGGACATTTCTTAGCTCTTGGAATCCAGCTTCGATTCCTAATGATAATATGTAAAGTGATACAAATACACGTAAGGAATCAAATAATCATTACAGGATTTCTTCCACACCATATCTCTAAATAGGTGTTTTGGCCACACAAATAGCATAATGATGGTAATCGATTAATGCGATGGCAACGCATATGAAACAAAAGCCCTCAGCCCAAAATTTCGTAGTCTAACCCAGCAATTAGACAAACATACACCGACTTTCTGCAACAAACGTTCGGCTTCATTAACGTTCTGCACCACCATTCTTGCTAGCGGTGTATTTTCTAAACTGTGCCAGTGTCAAACAATGTCCTTCCATCTTGCACAGATTTTTATCAAAAGCATCATTATTGATATTCTCCT